CCCTGGGTAGAGTGCTATGGTGTCATAGCTCAAAGCAACCTCCAATTCAGGCTCAAGCAAGCCTCTTGCATCAGTTTTTCTAGTTTTAGTAGAGACAGGGTCTCCTTTTTGCTCAGGGTGGTCTTGAACTCATGAACTCAAGCAATCCACCTGCCTCGGCCCCCCAGAGTGCTGGGATTCCAGGTGTGAGCCACTGCTCCCAGATGAAGTATAGACTTTTAGACTCCACTGCCCCTTCAGGACTTCACCCCACACCACAAACCTATCCCTGCAACTTCACTGCCCGCCTCTCCTCCTTTCTGCCCTTCCTGCAAACACTCAAGCCCGTACACACTCGACCTTTACCTGCTGAAACTTCTTTCCAGATTTCCAAAATCCCCTCCATTTCAAGCCTTCATGCTTTTGCACGTGCAGTTCCTTTTTCTGTGCAGAGAACTTCTGTCAGACGACACTAATGCCTCCTCTTCTGAGAACACTTCCCCAGCCCAATCAAATAGAGCTATTCAGTCTACCCTCTACACTCACAAAATACTTTCAGGTTAGCCAAAAGATTGTTCTATTCCAGATATAGTATAATTTTGACATTAACTGCCTTTGAGGAGACTTCGGTGTGTGTCAGTCAGCTTCCCAGTAGGGAATGTGTCATCCGTAATGTGAGAAATTTAAGGAAGTTTCAGAAAATGAGACTATTTACTGAGGTGGGCAGAATCCAGGAGAAGCACAGGGACAATGCAGTACCCGAGAGCTGGAAAGGGTAGGAGTTGTCATAACCTTTAGGCCTGAGGGAGCCAAAGAGAAGAGATGAGTATTAGAACCCAGAATAAGAGCCACAGAGAGAGTCCACATGACAGGGGCACTGGCCCTTCATGGAGGGACCTAGACAACCTCCTGGGCCCCCTCAGGGAAGGTGCTGAGAGTGAATACTCTGACCCGAGCAGAGTAAACTCACAGCTTGTTGCCTTCCATTGGTGACACCTATCAGGAAGCCAAGGCAGGGACCTTTGATGCAATCTACATGGCCAGTCTCCTGGATCACAGAGCAGCGGGAGAATGACTCAGCAGGGTCCCTGAGAGAAATCTAGCACCCTGGGCATGGTGACAAGTTTTGTGAGCATTTACCATAATTATTCAACCAGTAGCTTTTAGACCCAGCCGTAATAAGACAACCACATGTAAATGGTCCCCAGGAAGCAAACTACAGGAGGTACACATAGTATTTGGGGTCAGTCCTGTGGGAGAGAAGGGAATGAAGTCTTCCTTCCTTTGTCTAAATGCCATAAGGGTCTTAACCAGAGAAGACTCTAGCTTTGAATCCCAATAATGGAATATATTTCCCTTGGCCCTTTTTTGGTGCAAGAGTAACAGTCACTTGGGGTCCTGTGTCTAGTAAATTGAGGAATGTCCACATCCTTCACAGTTTCTAGTACAAATGAACTAGAGCAAGGCTGGGGAATCTGGGGCCTTAAGGTACTTAAGTGCTGGGAGGTGCCTGCGGCTCAGGGAGTAGAGCGCGGGCCCCATATACCAAGGGTGGCAGGTTGGAACCTGGCCCCAGCTAATCCTGCAACAACAACAACAACAAGAAAAATAGATGAGCCTTGTGGCTGGTGCCTGTAGGTCCCAGCTATTGGGGAGGCTGAGGCAAGAGAACTACCTAAGCCCATGAGCTGGAGGTTGCTGTGAGCTGTGATGCCACAGCACTCTACCTAGGGCGACAAAGTGAGACTCTGTCTCTTGAAAAAAAAGTAAGTGCAGCCTTTTGACTGAATCCAAATTTTACAATCCCCCCCTCCCACTTTTGAGATAGGGTCTCACTCTGTTTCCCAGGCTACAGTGCCCAGGCCTCAGCCTAGTTCACTGCAAACCTCAAACTCCTGGGCTCAAGTGATCCTCCTGCCTCACCCTCCCCGGTAGCTAGGATTACAGGAGTCTGCCATCACGATATTTTCTATTTTTTGTAGAGACAGCCTCTGGCTCTTGCTCACGCTGGTCTCCAACTCTTGTGCTCAAGAGACTCCTGCCTCCACTCTCAGAGTGCTAGGGTTACAGACGAGAGTCCTCAAACCCAGAGACAAGATCTTTTTAGCGGGAAGTGGTCATGAGATCTTGGCAGCGTGTGATTGGCTGAGAGGAGGCAATATGTTAATGAATATCAGAGTTCCTCTTTGTGCCCTAAAGAGTTTCTGGAAATTTACAAGTAAAAACAGTGTTTTGAACTTAGTTATTTGACCAAATTGTTATGAAATATAAAATGTATTCAAAAAAGGCAAATGATCTGACCCAAACACCAAAAATTATGTCACCATCACAGAAAAGTGTTTTGCCAGGCTAGACTCTGTGGAGGCGGGGCCTACATCATTAAGACTATACTTTCAGGGATCATTTCTATAGTTTGTTACTAGAGAAGTCTCTCTGAACGTGTAGAGCACCGGAAACCACGAGGAGGAGGTGTAGTATTTTCTCCTGAGCGTGAAGCTGGTATTTGGTGTTGCAGTTGTTGTAACTACCACTTGCCGTTGATGATCGTTCTTCTTCTCTTTTCAGAAGAGTGAGAGGGAGGAAATACTGTCTGAGTGGTTTTTGTTATTCAACTGTTAGTGTAAGATAAGTGCTTATCTTTGTTAGTTTTGGGAAGTTTATTGTTGGGACTCTGTTATTGGTGTTTGGCAGACATAAGTTTGTAGTGTCTCTGTATGTGAATTTAAAATAAGCTTCCAGCTATTAAAAGGTGCTTGCTTCTTTTTGTACTGAACTTTTTTTTTTTTTTTTGTAGTCAGAGGAAGCAAGTTGTCAAAGAAAAAGAGGTGAAATACAGGAAGGGGTTTGGGGAGGGGAACTGAGTCTATTTTTGGTAGGCAAATTAAACTACCACAATTGATACCTAAATTGTTGCCCAGTTATATAGAACTGTATAATGTTACATGACAAAAAGAGTGGGTAGAGACATATTTAAGGCCCAGATCAGTCGACCCAGGTGAGCCTGCTTTAATCATGTAAAAAAGCCTGAAAAGCAGCAGAAAATGTGCTTTGACCAGTTCAAGGAAGAGAGCAAACAGCCACAAATGATCTGCCTATGGTAGAGGAGCCTCCCTAGGAGCTGAGATCTCAGTCCTACAACCTCCAGGAACTGAGCTCTGCCAAGGAGCAAGCTGAAGGAGAGCTGTGAGGACCTGGACCTGGACCCTGCTGAAGGAGAGCTGTGAGGACCTGGACCTAGACCCTGCTGAAGGAGAGCTGTGAGGACCTGGACCTGGACCCTGCTTCCTGACTCCTGGATACTGTGCGAACCGTTCAGTTGTGTGGAGTTTGTTACACAGCCAATGTGCCATTTGGTAAGGCCTACCTGGTTACACAGCCTAACAATTCTTACTAATTCTGCACTTTTTTTTTCTTGAGTCTCCCTTTGTCCTTCTCCATAGTGTGGCATCATAGCTCACAGCAACCTCAAGCAATTCTCTTGCCTCAGGCTATTTTTTCTTGCCCACCTATTTTTTTTTTCTTTTAGAGACAGGATCTCGCTCTTGCTCACCCTGGTCTTGAAACTGTGAGCTCAGGCAATCCACCCGCCTTGGCTTCCCAGAGTGCTAGTGTTACAGGTATGAGCCAACGCACCCAGCCTCAATAGTTTATTTTAACCAGAGGGTCCTAATAGCTTTTAGTTCCCTGATTCCAAAGAAGGAAGCATACTTAGCTAATGCCAAAAACTCCAACCCACTTGATCCCTTTGCACACTTCCATTGATACTCACATTTCCCTCCCCTCTCCCTCACACAGCGAATGATGTTAAGCCTGAGTAGAATGGAGAAGAATAGAATGGGTAAGAAGGATCATCGAGAAATTCTAAGGAGTGGACATGGGCTGGGAGCAGAAGAAGAGACTGCTTACAATGGAAGCAATTTAACAGAAAGTCCTCCCGGAAGATGATTATCTCAAAATAATACTTTCAATGTATGCTTTCTGCTAAGGAGGTTATCAAAGAGGAAAAATAGTTTTTGGTTTTTTAAAAAATATGCTTCATCATGTCTTTAAGTACTAGAGGGGATAAAATAGTGAACATTTTGTTCTATTTAATCTTTAAATTTTATCCAATGTTAGAAGGATAGTTATCTTTTGGAGCAAACATCCACTCCTTCATCTTCTTAACCATATCTGTGGCCCGAGGTGGCATTTTGTAAAATGTCAACCCGCTCTCCTTGGTAACTTGGAGGACAGACACACACAGACTCTGCAGCAGTAAAGTCTATGTAGATGCTCACAAGGGGCTGTCTGTGTTCTTGGTGGTGGCGGCAGCCAAGAAGATGCACCACTGCTCAGTTTTCCCTTCAAAAAGGAGTGCAGGGGCTCGGTGCCTGTAGCTCAAGCGGCTAAGGGCACCAGCCACATACACCAGAGCTGGGGGTTCAAATCCAGCCTGGGCCTGCCGAACAGCAATGACAACTACAACCAAAAAATAGCCAGGCGTTGTGGTGGGTGCCTGTAGTCCCAGCTACTTGGGAAGCTGAAGCAAGAGAATTGCTTAAGCCCAGGAGTTGGAGGTTGCTGTGAGCTGTGATGCCACGGCACTCTACCCAGGGTGACAGCTTGAGGCTCTGTCTAAAAAAAAAGTGCATTGGGAGACTGGGGCTGACCACCTCCATCTGTTAGTACTTCAGAGTCTGCCTCGACTGTTGAGCTAACGCCACAGTTGTTCCAGGCAATCTCCAGCTAACAACTAAGCGCCACAGAAGTACTAGAGCTTGGCTCGGCACCTGTGGCTCAAGTGGCTAAGGCGCCAGCCACATACACCTAAGGTGGCGGGTTCGAATCCCCAGCCCGGGCCCTCCAAACAACAATGATGGCTGCAACCAAAAAATGGCCGGGCGTTGTGGCAGGCGCCTGTAGTCCCAGCTACTTGGGAGGCGGAGGCAGGAGACTCGCTTGAGCCCAGGAGTTGGAGGTTGCTGTGAGCTGTGATGCCGTGGCACTCTACCCAGGGGGATAGCTTGAGGCTCTGTCTAAAAAAAAAAAAAAAAAAAAAAAGAAGTACTAGAGCCTGATGTTTCTGCTCTACCCAGACCATCTCTTACAGGTGCTCTTTTCTGGACTTCCCCAGAAGGTTGCCCTAAATTTTCCCACATCTGCTTCATGTCTGGGGCCCTCCTTGCCTAATGCTTCCTCTACTTGCCTGTAGCAGGAGTCTACTCATGCCGTGCTGGGTGGCCTTCCTCTTCCTATCGAGCATCGTCTTTCTTTTCTTTTTCACAGGCATTACGTCCTAACAATCTCTTAGGCTCCTAACTTCATTTCAGTGTCTGCTTCACAGCAGACCCCGCTAACTCACTGACCACACTTAGCCGTGTATGGGAATAGGAGAGGAGATAAAACCAATCTATGAGAGAAAGGCAGAGAGGTCTGACTGCTTTTTCTTTTTTTTTTTTTGAGACAGAGTCTCACTGTGTCACCCTGGATAGAGTGCTGGGGCGTCATAGCTCACAGCAACCTCAAACTCTTGGGCTTTAGCGATGCTCTTGCCTCAGCCTCCCAAGTAGGTAGGACTACAGGCACCCACCACGATGCCCAGCTATTTTTTTGTTGTTGCAGTTCTCATTGTTGTTTAGCAGGCCCAGGCTGAGTTCAAACCCATCAGCCTCGGTGTATGTGGCCAGCTCCCTAATCACTGAGTTACGGGCACAGAGCCACTGACTATTCCTTCCATCCATGAGTTTCGTGGCTTGCTTTTTTTTCTTTCAGTTAACTTAAGCTTTTTATTCTTTTGTCTCAAGGGTAAATAAGCTATAATCTATAGATTATAATTAATTACTTTTTTTAAAAGCAGGGAGGAGTTAGGGCCATAAAACCATCATGCTAATTGTACCCCATAGGTGGCTCCAGTATGCAACTGCAACCCACCCATCCTCCACACCACGAAGTCTGAGAGGGATGGAAAAATACCAAGAAAATTCCCCCAAGACAGGTAGAGGAAGGGACACAGGGAAGATCATTAACACTAATTGAGGTAATCATCTTACAGGGTAGAAAAGAAGAACAATTTCAGCTAATACCCATTATCCAAAAAGGAAAAAGGATAAAAATATAAATTTGAGCCAGATGGTGGCTCATGCCTGTAATCCCAGCACTGGGGAGACTGAGGTGGGTGGATTGCCTGAGCTCAAGTTTGAGACCAGCTTGAGCAAGAGTGAGACCCTATCTCTAAAAATAGCCGGGTGTTGTGGTGGGCGCCTGTAGTCCCAGCTACTTAGGAGGCTGAAGCAAGAGAATTGCTTAAGCCCAAGAGTTTGAGGTTGCTACGAGTTGCAACACCATAGCACTCTACCCAGGGTGACAAAGAGACTCTGTCTCAAAAAAGAAAAAGTTGTCAAGTTACATAAAGTGTGCAGAAACAAGAGAATAGCAGTCACTACTGGAGGCAAGGCTGGACTCTTCCAGCCAAGAGGAAGGTAGCTGTGTCACTCCTTCATTCCAATACTGATGGCAACTTCTACCCAAGATCTCAGAGTCTCTGTTTTTCAGTCCATATGTTTGGGAACTTGGCTCTAATATCATCACTTGTCTTTCTAGGCTAGAGATAACCAATTTTCTAGGGAAAAATCTAGACATCTAGATTTCTGTCTAAAGGAGAATCTGTGAAATCAAGCCCCTTGAAGACTTGATTAAGTGAGTTAACCCATGTACACATAGTAAAAATGCAATAAACATAAACTATAATAGGAAATAATATGATTAAAGGTACTTATAGAATAAAATCAACAATCCATGTTATGTCTCTTTAGCACCCCTCACATCATTAAAAGACCCAATGACTTTCATACCCAATGCTATGACTATTTAGTATCTGTTCCCTCTACATCAGAGAGTGGGAACTCTGGTATTATAGGTATTTCAACTGGGCTTCATTTGCAATGTTTGCATTAAACACCCATGAACTTCCCTAGCCTTTCCCTTCTAAACACACTCTTGGGCCCCTTGACGCAGTGACTTCATAGGTCCCAGGAGATGGCCTGACCCCACATCTCTCTATCCCGTCCTTATTTGCTTAACAGCTAAGCTGCATGTTTCGATTTTTCTTCTTTCATTCTGTCTTTAACCTGCTTAAGGTAAGTTGCCTCAGTTATGGAATACATTTCCTTTATTTCCTTTGTATGATGTTTCAACCTCTATCCTGTTAAGTCATTTTTCCCCTCTTTTTGTTTCATTTCTAGTGCAAATAACTAATCAAATGGATTACTTGTTTGTTTGTTTTATGACTATGTCAGTAGCATAAAAGAATTAGAAGTGAGTGGGGGCGGCGCCTGTGGCTCAAAGAGTAGGGCGCTGGCCCCATATGCTGGAGGTGGTGGGTTCAAACCCAGCCCCAGCCAAAAAATGCAAAAAAAAAAAAAAAAAAGAAGAAGAAGTGAGTGGGTCCTTGCACTTAATGGGATAAAATGTTTTGAAAATGTCTCTAATTTACTTCCACATCCTGAAGTTGGAACCATCTCCTATCACGTTCCCCACAGGTGGACAGCAGGTCCTTCCTTGTACCCCCTAAATGTATACAGTTATGATTTAATACAAATTAAGTTAAAAAAGGAGGGGATC